CCGTAGCTCCTTCCCCGCGGTCTTATCCCCCTCTCCCCCTCTCCCATCGGAGCATCCGTAGCTCCATCTCGATGCTTATCGGTCGCCAGGCGTCTCGCATCCAATCGCGTGCGGTGCGCACGCGGCCCTGCGTGTCCAATTAGGTTGCCTACTGCCCCGCGAATCACGAGTGTAAACATCGGCAGTCGCTTGCTATAAACCCTATCAATAAATGCTCGTAATTAGAGGTGCAGAGCGGTGCGCACGCGATCCCCCTACGTCGTCTTATTCTTCGTCTAAATCCTCCTCCTCCTCTGCCTCCCCGTCCTCGTCTCCCCGTCCTCGTCCTCCTCCCCTCCTTCTCCTCCTCATCCGCTGCCTCCATCTCTCTCCTCCTCGTCTTCCTTCTCGCCCTCCTCCTGCATCTCCTCCTACTTTCCCTTCTCCCTCCTTCTCCTCTTTCTCTGCATCCACCACCACCACCTCCTCCTCCTCCTCCTCCTCCTCCTCCTCATTTTCCTCTCCACCCTCCTCCTCCGCCTCCTTCAGCTGTTATTACGGGAGGTTATTGAGCGTCTTAGGTCGAGCAGCCGCGAGCGCGCGTACATTCATTCGCCTCCCGTGCTAGATGTTTTATGGTTATTATCTTGTTAACATTCGGTAATCTGCCCAGAAGCGTGATGGATTAGAGGTGGTTGAGAAAGACGCTTTCACGCACGGAATCATGACAGATAAATAAATAAATAAATAAATAAATAAATAAATGAATAAATAAAAAAGTAAATAAACTAGAACAAGATAACAGCTAAATAGATGATAATAATAAAAAAGTAAATAAACTAAAACAAGATAACAGCTAAATAGATGATAATAATAATGATGATGACGACGACAACGGCGACGACAACGATGACGATGATAATGATACTGATGCTGAGGCTGAGAAGTCGGCCTTTCTGACGCTTATCTTGTTGGCTTGCTGTTAGTGACGGTTAGCAGGCCTCGGGTATAGGAGCGACAGTGCGGCGTATTACCGGTAATTCGGGCTGCTGCGAAGATCACAAGTATACAAAGTAGCGGAATTCTGATTAGACGTTGTGTATGGTAGTGTAGCACCGGTAGCGTTAATGCATCGCATCACGGCATTCTGATATAAACGCTGTAGATGCTTCCGGTTCCGGTTCCGCTGATACGCGAACACCGCACGCAGGCACTCGTGTGTAGCACACAGATGGCTTCGTGCAAAGATTATAATCGTGTAATAATTAATTTCATGGTCTTGATGCAGAGCGATAGCGTTCGCCCGTCGCAGACCGTGGTACATCATAGATCAGGGGTTCTTAACCTGTGGTCCATGGACCCCCTTTGGTGTCCGTGGATGGGCTTCAGGGCGTCCGTGAACGCCGTTGTATGCAAAACCTTGTGTTTATGTGCTTATGTGCATTTTTCTGGGGAGGGATCCGCAGCTTTCACGACATTCTCAAAGGGGTCTATGACTCAAAAATGGTTAAGAACCACTGTCGTAGATTATCTATACGAACTATCGTGCCGCGCCTTTGCTTTCGTATAGATGAGTCCACTAGCGGCACGGCGGTTAGCGAGTGCGACTATGTGAGCATCTATTATGAATTCGCTGATGTGCGCGTATGTATGCATGCATTTCGCCGGCACCTGCAGTGTTCTAGTGCATTCCCGTCACGGTGCGAAATTTCTCAGTTACACGCTCTTTGTCGCCGGCACGTTTGATTTTGTATATATATATATATAT